TATTATACTACACCCAAAGCCATATTCTATCTACTTAAGGGAGACTATAGCTTATGGATCTAGTCCCCCTAGGGTTAAGGGCCTAGGGTTTAGGGTATACTGGGGAATCAATGGAAAAGAGGAACATGAAACGGAAGCACCGGTTCTTCCTATAGGGATATGGTTTGGAGGGGTTATCATAGCCGAGAGCTGGACCTTGATGTTGCCAAACTGAGGCACTCAGTCACTAGATTCTAACTCTAATGTAACTTGTATACTAGTTTACAAAGCCTTGTGATATGACCCATAATTTTCTAGATTGCTACTGACGCATGTGTTTGGATTTCAAGAACCCTAAACCCTAAATTTGAACCCCTAAACCCTAAACCCTAACCCTGAAACCCTAAACCCTAACTCCTAAAGCCTAAACCCTAAACCCAAGCATGCGATTGGATTCCAAGGACCTGGTCTTGGGCGTGGCCCCGGGCCAACTGCGCTTGTACCTGCAGGAAGATGGAGGGAAGCTGGTTTCCAGGCGCATGCTCCATCGCTGATGTAGGGGTTCTCCCCCACACGCAAAAACACACAATTTTTGGGCCCTTGCAGCCATGTCTCTGATGTAGCGTTTGCAGGCACACCCTCGATGGCTTTCAACAACACGTCGTGCCGGTCATCGCAGACTGGAACGGGGATGCTCTGCCTCCTCTGTACTTTGTTGTTTTCTGGATGAAGTGCTGTCCCCACACATCCCCATAAAAGATGACTACAGTGGCTACAGCTTTTGTGGCTTGACTTTTCTTAGTGGCAGCTGCTTGTAAGGATGGTGGTCCTGAAGTCATCCTCGGCACTGATGCAGCCGATCTGCCCTATCTCGAACAGCGGTGTGAACTGACAGATGCCTGTTTCAGCGAGTCGCTAGGTACCCCAGTAGTACCTGTTTACCCTTTCTGTTTGGGGGTATCCTTATTAAAACAGAACAATAGAAAAAGGGTACCCTTATTATGTAGGGTTTACTGGGGAACCTAGGTCGGGCCTGTGCAGCTCCAAGAGCCAGGTTTGTCAGTGCTTGCCAGGCAGCGATGTGTCTGAAAGTCGTGGAAGTCCTCTAGGGCTGCTGACCTGAGATGCGAAAAGGTACCTCATAAACTGGGTTGCTGTTAGGGAGCTTAAATTAAGTTACTATAGTGGGGAAACCCTATTATTTACTATATATACCCATTAGGGTAACTTAATTTAAGTTCCTTAACAGCAACCCAGTAAATTGTAGGCCAAGTGCCGGGCTTGACCAGACATCAGGAAAGACGAGCCGCCGACTGGTGCCAGTATTAGCAAGTAGCATACGGAAATGGCACCATATCTTCTCGTCTGGCTAGTGCTGCAGCAGCAACAAAGTGCAGGAGTTTAAGATCCCTGCAGGTCATGCTGGCGTCGACTGCTCCAAATGCGCACCAGGCTTCAGCGCCACGCCACGAAACTCCGAGAGTGGCCACAGCTGCTACCCCTGCCCCAGCGCACCAGATGCTGGCATCTGCTACAAGCGAGGGGTTTGCGTGGATGACAACTACGTGCAGACGGCGGCGCTCCTACACCAGAAGGCAGAACCATGGCTGCTGCGAGGAAATGGCAGCTGCCTCTGCAACCCCAACTTCTTCGGGGAGGAGGGCTTGCGGGGTTTGCAAATGAAAGGCTGACATAGGGTTATGTAGGGTTTATATAGGGGATAATGGAAAAGAAAATGGAAACTACTGTAGTATATTGGGGTTATATGGGGATAATGGAAAATAAAATGGAAACTACTATAGTACTGAACTGAGCCTGGATTTGGTTGGTTGTCCAACGTGTTTTTGTTCTTCGGGGGCCATGCCATCATGGGTACTCAAAACATGGACGTACTATAGTAGTTTCCATTTTATTTTCCATTATCCCCATATAACCCCAATATACTACAGTAGTTTCCATTTTCTTTTCCATTATCCCCTATATAAACCCTATACAACCCCATGTGTACTTGGAGCTTTCGGTCTCGTCTCGCATCGTCCGCTTGCTTGGCCTCTGGCAGGACTGCGGACAGGGAGCGTGTCCTCGCGGGCAAGAGCCGACTGTGGATCTGACATTCAGGCGGGAACTACAAGCTTTAAGACAGCTTGGTAGGAAAGTGATCCCAGCTTTTGTGACATCATTCAACAGAGGAAGGTAGCTTCGCCAGGTCCACTTACTGCCGACCGTGCCAGAGTGGTTTTGGCAAGGACCTTTGAGAGCAATCGCATGCTGGAAGTTCAGTGCTCACGTGGTTGCTGGATAACCCAAAATCTTCTTGAAAAGTGGTTAATTAGCCTGTGATGTTACAGCACTGTTATGGTCATGACGCCCGACTGCACGGATTGCAAAGCTCATGCTCGCATGCTCCCTGTGAGGAGGAGTCGGGTAACCATGCCTGCATTGCTTGCCCACCCGGAACGGCCTCAAGTGACAGCGGCCTCTGCGTCCCTTGTGCAGATGGCCTGTTCCAGGCACTCTCCGGCCAAGGCAGCTGCAGCAAATGCGAAGCTGGACAGGCCCCAAGCAGTGATGGCACACGCTGCAAGAGTCTAGGTACCCCAGTAGTACCCTTTTACCCTTTTTGTTTGGGGGTTATCCTTATTAAAACAGAACACTAGAAAAAGGGTACCCTTATTATTAGGGTTAACCCTAAACCCTAAACCCCCAAAAAACCTTATTACTGTAAAACAGAAAAAGGGTACCCTTACTATGTAGGGTTTACTGGGGAACCTAGGAGTTGCCCTCCTGGCACCTCGGCACTGCCTGGCGATCGATTTTGCAAGCTCTGTGGCCTGGGCCAGTACCAGCCCAGCAGCGGCCAAGGCAGTTGCATCCCCTGCTCTGCCGGGTCCCAGACAGATATGGGGCAAACATCCTGCAGCTTTTGCCCCTCAGGAACAATGGCTGTTTCAGGTGAGTGCCAGCAGTGCCCAGCCTTCACAACATCAAGCAGCAGTGGGACTCAATGCGTAATCGGTTGGGCTTCGCTGGTGGGCGCCGTCGTGTTCACGCTGCTCACGCTTGCATTCTTCAATCTCCTGGTTTTCCTCCCGGGAGTACGAAGGAACATTGCCGACATCACCTGGTCCGTAGTGGATGAAGCTGTCATAGTCACCATGCAAAGCCCGCACCACTTCGGCCCGAAGCTGCTGAAGGTCCGCCTCCAAGACGTCGGCGTTCCCTGGCTCGACCCATCTGCCAAGACTCCTCACTTCTTCGTGAAGAAGCTGTCCCACTCACAGCTTCAGCTTTTCTCGGAGCCGAAGATAGCCTTGACTGTACCCACTGAAGCTTCCCGTGGAACGCTGAAGCCGGCCTTCATGGCAGAAGCCCTTGGGACCGTTTTGTTCGGCTTCCCAATCTGCGTATGGCTGGCCATCTGTGCGTTAGGCATGATCCTCATCGTGAGTCTCTTGCCCATTCCATGGTCGGCATTTCTCAAAATCCGGGTCTCCAGTGATAAGAAGATGCAATCCAGAGAACTGAGAAATTTGCAATTGTTATAGCCTTGTATACCTCGGTCCCGATAGTCCTTCATAATCAAGAGACTGTCAGCTACGCAAGCACTGACAATCCTGACACCCTTAATCCAAGGCAAATCATGGGTTATCAAGCTTCCATGTAAATGTGCACCTAGACCCTCCAACTAACCTCTATTTAGGCTTAGGCCCATGTAGTCCCAAGTAAGGGTACTAGGAGGGTCCGGGCAGAAGCCTCCCTCCCCAGGTGGTATCTGCTGCTAACCGTTTGCCTGGCCTTCGCCGTGACTCTGGGCCTTCAGATTCGACGTGCCAGGCACGACAGCCGCACGCCTCTGCACGGTCTCCTCTGCCAGCACCTCGCTCTGAACTGGGATGGACGTTTCCGCCCAAACTTGACCCGAAAACAGGGGGCCCAAATGTGGGTGGGGGGGGGGAAAAGCCTCCAGGTTGCGTGCAAGTTTTTGAGTTTCTTGGGTTCCTACTGCCTTGTGCACATCAGGTTTCAAGAGCATCTCCACACAGTGAACCCCCAGCCTGCCTCTTGCGATCCGGGCGCACAGCGCGCACTGAGTCTGGATTGCTGTTAAGGAACTTGAATTCGGTTCCCATACTATGGGTATATGGACAACTATTTAGGGTTATAGGAGTCATAGAGGGATAATGGAAAAGAATATGGTTACTATTTAGGGCTTTTATAGTAAATACTAGGGTGTCCTTGTGACGGTGACTACAATAGGTTTCCTTATTATGGCAACTTACATCTAAGTTCCCTTACAAGAAACCCTAAACCCTAAACCCCCTTAAGTACATAGAATATGGTTTTGGGTATATTATAATAAGATCCCCATATACCCCATATTCTATCTACTTAAGGGGGTTTGCAAACCCAGGAGTGTCGGGCAGATCTTGCACTTCAACGGGCTCCTGGGCTGGGACCATTTTGTTTCAGGGGAGCACATGAGCTATTCTCTAAACTTCTTCTTAAAGGGGGTCACATAGGGGATTTTACAGGGTTTAGGGTTTAAGCTCCTTAAAGGAGCTTACATGGGGGGATTCTTTAGGGAGGGGTTATCAAGGGTTTACCTAAGTATGGTATAAGTAGAACGGTCCCCAAGAGGACCCTGATTTTCGTGCATAACAGCTGCAGTCGGCTTGTTTCGTGTGGCTCCGCGTTGCTGTTCCAAGCAACAGCCTAGGTTCTTCAGATCGCTCATCCAACACAGGACGGGCGAGCAATGCCGTTGGTCATGATACTGATGGTGCGTAGGCAGGAGTCATGGGTTCTGATTCCAAGCCATTGTCAGAAGGATAATGAAGCTGATCGCCGTCGTAGTTGTAGTCATCTTTGTAGACGCTGCCACCGCAGTAGCAGGTGGCTATCGCGGCGGTGGTGCCATTCCCACAGTGTTTCAACTTTAGAATCGAGACTTGGAAAGTGGGCTGAGCCAACCTCTGAATTTTGTATCAGCCTCATTGATTTAGCAATCCCAGTCAGGATTGATTGTAGTTGATTGTAGGATCCGAGAGATTTAGTTTCTTCAGGATCTCTGGATCCCTTTTGTTGTAAAGATGTCGTAAGGAGGACGCAAGTATCTGTCGGCTTGGCCCCAGCAAACTGGTCAGCTGCCGCAGGAACATGTACTACGTTTGCCGCGCTCTCAGGAAGTTTTGTGTTCGACCCCCCCCTTTGATATCTCATTTGGGAGCACCGCCTCATTTCATGCTTGCTGGGAGATTCCTGGGAATCTTTGTCGATTATTGTTGATCATCATCCCTCTATGAAGCCACAGCTTTTGAGCTCCTAAATCTGTGCCAGCCTGCCACAACCCCAATATGACCCCAATATACCCCTAATATGACCCCAACATAACCCCAATGTAACCCAAATAAAACCCCCATGTCACCTGAAGGTTCACCCAGCCACCTCCCACCATGTCTTGCACAGAGCTGTATGGCGCAGACTACACTTTGACTTTGCTTTCTTGAGCTGGGTGAGGGGTTTTGGGATTTCTCTCACCCTGCTGTACAAAAAAATCTACGGACACAAGATGACTGCGGAGGAAGGGTCAGATAGAAACCGATCCTGTAACCATAGTATATTTTCTCCCTATATAACCCCTATATAATCCCAATATACTTTAGTAGCTTCCATTTTCTTTTCCATTATCCCTATACTATAACCCCTATAATCCCATTATCCCTACGTTAGTTTCCATTTTCTTTTCCATTATCCCGATAATATAACCCCTATATAATCCCATTATCCGCATGTTAGTTTCCATTTTCTTTTCCATTATCCCTATATAACCCCTATATAGTATATATGAAGCACCTCAGGCCCGAGCATCATCAAGCCCCTGACGAAAACGTCACAGCTCTCCTTTGCCGAGCTCGCGGGCTGCGGAAGCTTGGCTGTGGTGGCGGTTTCATGAAAGTAGGAGTATGTTAGGGTCTTACAGTCGAAGGGCTTTAGGCCCTTTGAACAGATGTTCATGGGGTTCATGAAATGGAATATAGGAGCTCGACAAATTAGAAGGGGGTTTGGGTGCTCTGTACACCAGTTCCCACTTAAAAGTGATTGATTTTCGCTCGACCATCCAAAACACACGGCAGAGCATTTGCTAAACTCAAGTTAGGCTGCCCATGTCAGCCCATCGTCTAGGCCTTCTCGAGTTGTTTAGGCTGTCGTACTCAGATTTATGGCAAACTCATCAAAAGAGACTGTATCACAAATACAGTGGATGGAGGAAATCTTGCACCAGCTTGTGTACCCTAACACCCAAGAATTGCAGGATATTGAGTATCTTAAGCAGCGCCAGGTTTCCTCCATCCACGTTAGGCAGGGTTCTGCAGCGTCTTGAACACATCGTGAGACTGACCACACAAGGTGAGCACGACATGGAGGCTTATCAGAAGTCCGGGCCTCCAATATTTTGGGTACCCAAAAACGGACTTTAATTTCATGTAAGAAACCACCCCATGTGAGCTATAGTCTAAACTCCTTAAACGGGTGTTATGTAGGGGATTATATAGGGGACTGATATATGGGGTTATAATTGGGGATACTAGGAGTTTAGACTATAGCTCATGTAGCATAATGCCAACATGAGCCATCTTTTTTGTTGAGGAATGGTGGACTGGTTCATCTCTCACTTCTGGGGCCTTCCGTTCAAGGACTTTGCACAAAGTCTCCGCACGCACGCGATGTACGTGGACGGAAATTGGGAAAAGATCCGGTATTGGATGCTGGTCAGCAATTTCTGCAGGATTTTCTGCAGTATCTTGATTCTGAGTTCCTAGGGGTTTAATACCTACATGGTATAGTCTCTCTTAAGTAGATCCTAAACCCTAAACTAAACCCCAAACCCTCAACCCTAAACTTTAGGGATACTAGGAGCCTAAAGCCTAAACCGTGAATCCTGAACAAGGATCTGTGCCTTCAGCCAGAACCAGTGGCGCCTGAGTGAGGAAATGCCTCCCGGAGCGCTCAGGGAGTCCTCCTTCCACAAGGCCGCTCTTGGGATGCTACATTCAGGAGTAAAGTAGGGTATATGAGGTATAACAGGGGTATAAGAGAGAGAGAGAGAGAGAGATAGACAGAGAGAGGAGAGAGATATAAATATATAATATCATATATGCATATGTGTACCAATCTCTAGGAAATGGAAAATAGAACTCAAACTACTATGATGTGGTAATGACAGCAGCAGCCGCGGTGGAGCTGGTGGTGGTGATGACTCGTCTTGCTCCTCCTCCCTGCTTCCCCTCGGCGCTGCCGCCGGCTGCGGCTACTACTTCCCTTCCACTTCAAACATCTTCAAACTCTACATGAGCTACAGTCCAAACTCCTAGTATCACCCTGCCCTTATAATTCTCCCCTACATAACCCCCCCCAAGGAGTGTAGACTACAGCTCACATCTGCTTCTGCCTCAAACCCCTACTGCTAGTTATACTTCTTGTACCGGCCAGGCCCTCATGGCGCCCAGCTGCCAGGCGTGGACGGGGAAAGAAGTTCGTGATCAGATTTTCTGTAATGCTGGCTTGTTGTGCTTACTGGTTCTTAGTAGGGAATGACTCAGTAGGGAGTAAGGGAATACAATCTTTATATAATGCCTATAGAATATATTCCCATATTAGTAGGGTCGTTGTCGTTGGCATGATGCAAAGCCTCGTCTCGTTGGCTGACCGTGGCCACATCTCACGGGATTCTCTTCTGTGCAGTGCCCCATTTGTCGGTTCCAGTTCATAGAAACAGTTCACCAGGTTGCAATGCGCAGTCGATAAGTTTCCAAGCTTTGTGACAGAGCTTCCAGCATGCATGGCTGGAGTCCTTTGCATCATCCAATCCGCCCAGGGGACTGGGCTGATGATGGACTTGGAACTCACCCCTCTGACGAGGCAATTCTGTGCTTTTGTCTCTGCCATGTTCAGGGCCCCTAGTGAACTAAAGCTTCGTCCTGCATGTAAGGGAGAAAACAAAACGGCGGGCTGGGAAGCGGGTGCCGAGAGTCCGAGGTCGAATCATGCTATGAACTTCCCAAATGGCTTTCAAGTCTTGGAGCCAATATATGATGATCATTTAGAATCCAGTATAATATACTATTATTTTCTCTAAGCTACTAAAAACGGACTATAACATACCATAATCTACTAATTCTACTAGAATATTTACTACTGGTGCACCTCCTTAGTTAAAGATGCTTCCTTGACAGGTCCTGGTGTCTCTTCGAGATGTTGCAGACCTTCAACTTGCATGAGCGCGGCCTCACTGGACACCGTGTAGCTCCCTTCCTCGGGCTTTTCATGCACCTGAGCAGCGAAAGTGTACCCTAAGGGTCCAAGGACCCAACTAATAGGGTTTTAGGGCCCAAGTACTATAATAAGGACCCAAACAATAGGGTTTGAGGGCCCAAGTTCAATAATACTAAGGTGAGTGGGGGTTGCAATTTCACAACTCTACTCAGGTGGGCTCGAAGATACCTTGGAAGTGTTGTCCGCATGACGCCGCGAGCCCTCCAAGCCCATGTTTCAGAACCCCCCCAAGCCCCCTTGCATTTATTGCTATCACTTGGCATCGCGGCTGCTCTTGGAGCTTTCTTTACTCTTGTTCGAATTGTTGCGATCCTTCTTCCGATTCCCCCAGTAGTGACAAGACCGCAAACGGCCCGCTACAAGAAAGGGTAGCTGAGGCTCACCCCGAGCGGGGTGCTCAATGTTGGCCGTGGCAATCTGGACACCACGGTGAAGATGGTCCAGTATCCTGGGCTCAATAGTTTCCATCTTATTTTCCATTATCCCAATATAACCTCATTGAGTACCCAATATAATCCCTACATGACCCCAATATAAGAACCCTAATATTACCCCAATGGGTACTCAACATCTGTGGCATCTTGTAGTCTAGAAAGTTCATGAACCTTTGGGGCTGATCTGGGGACGGTGTGGGAGCCTCTGTATCCTGAGAGACCTCCTTCTATAACCTTCTGACAAAAATGGTAGTTTCCCTAAATAGGGAGACCCCGGTATAGATCCCAAAATACTATGGTCCTTGTTATAGGAGCCTCCAAGATGGTACCCCCTAAATTTTGGGAAACCCTAAACCCTCTCGCGTAGCGAGGGACAAGACCATAGCAGGTGGCACAGGACAATTTCCTCCACTAGAAGAAATACAGAAGTAGTCTCTTTCAAGGCTACAGGCGTTCAGACGAACGCTAGTTGGGGCCCTTCGCGCCCTTTAAAAACCTAGCCTTTACAACGCCGAACTCT